TCATGTATTGAAATACTGATTCTTAAAAAAAATATTTGTTGCAAAACATAACACAGTTGTTAAAATCATTGACTACACGTTTTCAACAGCATACAGTAACAAAGGCGAACAGTTAGCCAGGCAGTATTTGCGGCAAAATTGCTACTAGGTAAAACCGACTTTCCCAGAAGTTCGGCCGAATTTGAAATCAACTGAGTGCGATCTTCGATTGAAGAATTTCCTAGACCTTGAACCAAACTCTGACAAACTTTACTTGTGTACTTACGTTCTTTTTATTTTGTTATTATGCTTAACGTTCCTATCGCGCCATAATTGTAATGTATGTAAAAAGATTTGGGAAGTGCTGTTGTTGTGAGTAGTCTCGAGTAGTTGATGTCTACTATACTTTGCAAAAAAAATCATCAAGAAAAGCCCAATCGAATTTGGATTACAAGAAGCGAACTCATTTTTTTCTTCGAAAAGTGAAATCGAATTTGGATTACAAGACGCAAAGCCACATTTTTATTGGAAAAATGAAATCAAATTCGCATTACGAGACGCGAAGTCAAATTTTTCTTGAACATGCGCAATCGAATTTTGATTGGGGGGCGACCCCGGCGTAGTGGTTAATATTCTTACCTCTCACGCCAAAGTCACTAGTTCAAATCTCACCCCGGACAAGTCACGAATGACCAAGAGTGTTAAAGTGACTATAATAAAAAAAAAACAAAAAAAAAGATTTTTATTACGAGAAGCAAAGTATAATTTTATTTGGAAAATCGCAATCGAATTCGGATTACGAGACAAGAAGTCAAATTTTACCTGGAAGTATTTTTCTTCCTCGCATTTCAAGCTTATTGTTTATCGCATATTAGCTTATTGCGTACTCAAACTTATTGTTATTGATGCACTTCCACAGTTATTAATTCAAAGCTTTCGATGGCTGTACCATGTTTTATATTAGTATAATTGTGTGGCAAGTACATTCATACTGTATGCGGAAGTCGAGAAATTTTTCAACCTGAAAAATTCCTGGACCGAATCGGGAATCAAAACCAGTCACCTCCATCATGGTCTTGATTTGTAGCTGTGCCTTTATCTAAGGGTGTTTAACGTGAAGTAATAAAATTGGGTTGTTAGCGGAATGCTTCAAGTATACAGAAAAAAAGTTATCTTCCATTTAATTCCACTTATTTAATTTTGTTATCTATGACAGATACGTATTTCGACTACAATGTGCAGTCTTCCTCAGTGTCATTCATGGGAATTACACTGATGTAGAACTTTGTTGTCGAAATACGTATCTTTCATAGATACCAAAATTAATTAATGGGATTAAATGGAACATAAACTTTTCTCTGCTGTTTTATTTGTTAACGTATTAAATACCAATAAACCATACCTTACATACAAAGCTGTTGATATACATTTCTAAACGTGACACGTGGAGAGCCTAACATATATTTCATAGTTGGTTGGAAATACAATCTAACATGAAGCTTTAGGGTGTTAAGTTATTAGTTAGAAAATGATCTTAGAAGGGGGTTCGTTAGATAGTTCCGTTAGAGTACGGCAGTATGTAAAATTGATTAGAAGTTGAAAATGAGTGCAAGTCAAACGCACACTCTTTGCCTAACCCGTACGATGTACGTGGAGATTTGAAGTATGTTTTCAAATCTACAGGCAAAAAGTGTGCGTCTGACTTTGTTCAAATATTGCGTGCGGCTATGGAATAGTTCTAGCAACGTTGCTTTATCTGTCTTTCCTGCATAACCAACCGCCTTCAGTATGTGTCCGCGGAATAACGAAAACAAGTTCAACTTTAATGCTAGCAGCCGAAGGACGGACAAACAAACTTTTGCGCGAAATCTTCCTGGACGTCCACGAAGAACTTGGAATCCCACGCATTGACGCCTTGGCAGACCTGGAATCACACCGTGCGTTCTTGTCTAGTGAACGCACACAACGACTGCAGCACTACAGCATTGACGCACACTTCGGAAGGAACCTTTTCATTAAACGACAACACTATTCGGACACTTTCAGAAGAAAATATAAATGCAATAATCTCCCAAAAACTTTTTCGCCTTCTCAACAGAATGGAACTGAAATCCTGCTGTATTGCCAAAATTTCAATCACATGAAAAGCTCAGCCAAAATGAAAGAAACTCAACAAAAAAATTATCTTTATATTTCAATGTTATTCTTGGAACTGAAACTAGCTGGGACGAAAGCGTAAGAAGCGAAGAAATTTTTAGAAACAATTTCAATGTATTCCGGCACGACCGAAATCTACATCTTTGTAAGAAAAAGTCTGGAGGTGGTGTTGCCATTGGCATTGCTATCAATGCAGACTTTACTTCCGAAGAAATACAAACTACTAAGAGCACCAAATTTGAACATGTATGCGCCAGAGCACTTATTGCTGGTGAAACACACATTTTTACTTCTGTGTATTTCCCACCAGAACATGCGAACAAACAGTTTTTTTTAATAAGAAGTAGCATATTTATGGCGACTTCCATCAACGCTATGCAGACTTTATCGCAGACATTGAAAACGAATCATTTGTACTTCCAATCGTAGGTGAAGACGAAACATTACAATTTCTCTTTGATAAAATCTCATATTTAGGTCTACATCAAATTAGCCTTGTAAAAAATGAGCAAAATGCATATATAGACCATTTATTTACAAACTGTACTGAAGACTTCTGTGTGTATGCATCATTATAAACTTTATGGAAAATTAAGTGTTTCACTCAGCAATTGAATATTCAATCTTCATACAAAAAACTTCTTCCCCCAGCGACTGGGAGTACGAGGAAGTGCCGGAATATCATAAAGCAAATTACGAAAAAGCCAAACGCAGACTATGTACAATAAATTGGCAAAACATAATAAGTATTGAAGGAAATGTCCACACTGAAGCTGGCATATTTCATTCAATTATTCGTAACCTAATTTAACCAATCTAACCAATAAAAAGAAGAAGGCAAACACAAAATAACGAACTGCCAGTGTGGTTCAATCCACAACTAAAACATTTGAAGAACAAAAAGCAGAAAGCACACAAATTATACAAAAAGGAAAGCACTAGCATAAATTTACAACACTCATAACATATGCAACCAGTCAACACAGCCATTAACATTGCACATGAAGAGTATAATCATAAACTCGAAAATGAAGTCAAATCATGTCCTAAGAACTTTGTCAATTATGTAAAAACGAAATTGAAAAGTAATAATTTTCCGTCACGAATGCCTTTTGATGTAAACGTAGGTTTTTCACCTACAATTTTGCAGTCGCTTTGCAAATTTTTTTTCAGGAAGTATACACCACATTTTCTGAAAAAGACCGCGACCGCGACTTCTTTGCAATTCATTCCCGAAGTCAACATACCTGTCAATCAAATATTTCAACATGAAGTCCTCATGCACAAAAAAATTGGACGCATCATTGACGGAATTGCACCTGTATTCTTGAAGAAGCTTTCAGAACAAATAACCCTTCCTTTAGAACGCATTTGCAATAAGTCTCTGAAAAATAAGAAATTCCCTGAAATTTGGAAATTGTCTCATTTGGTGCCTATTTTCAAATCAGATAAGAAATCTGACATCCGTAATTATTGCCATTATCTCTTGAATCCCAAAACTTTTTTAATCAATCGTAAACGACAAAAAATTTCAGCAAGTAAATAATCAAATTACAAACAAACAGCAAGGTCGTTTAGCTACCTCTAATCTTCTTGAATTTGTAACCTTCATTCTTAACGCAATTGACAATGACAAGCACGTGGAAGCTTTTTATAATGACTTCAGTAAAGCATTTGACCGAATCGACATACCATTATTACTCTTTAAATTGCAAAAAATAGGAATGGAATCTAGACTTCTGAATTGGCTCCAATCATACTTAAGGCATGGATGTTTTAACGGCGCCGGTGGTGTAGTGGTAAGCGTGATTACCTCTCACCCCAGAAGGCCTGGGTTCAATCCCAGTCGGCGCCGCCGGGATGTTCTGAGGCATAACATCTCTGATCACGCCTTCCTTCGGATGGGAAGTAAAGCCGTTGGTCCCCGGTTCATGAGTTGATGGGTCGATAGGTAGGGTCCAGGTGTGGGAGCTGCCTTCCTGGCACGTCGGTAGCATTGGTGCTCAGCACGGAAAACAAGATCGACGGAAAAAACAAACCAAAGGAAAAAAAATACTCAACGCAACGCAAACAAATAGTTCGTTTTCAGAATAAACTTTCAGAACCTATTTCAGTCACCTCTGTGGTGTCCCAGGATTCTCATTTAGGTCAAATTCTTTTTATTTTGTGCGTAAACGACATTTCAAACATACTTAAAAAAATAAAAGTTCTTATATATGCAGACGACATGCAGCTCCCCATGGAAATAATTAATTCTAGCGACACAGAAGAATTCCAGAATGAAATCAACTTATTCAACACTTCGTGTAGTGAAAGTCTGCTCCAACTCAATGTAAAAAAATGCAACGCAATTGTATTTAGCAGAAAAATAGAAACACCTCTTTTTGAAATATTTTTAAGCTTTATAGAACATTATAATACAATCATAACGAAAGCAAATAGTATGTTGGGCTTCATTAAGAGGTTCGGCTTTAATTTTTAAGACCCATACACTATTAAATTATTATATATTACATACGTAAGATCTATTCTGGAATACTGTAGTATGGAACGCATAGAATCCGTCCAAAAACAAATCTTTTTAAATGCCCTTCGCAAATTGATTTGGACCGCATTCCACCATATGAACCAATAATAATATGAATAATAAATGAACTCAAAATTTAGTTTTTGGGTGGGATTTACACTAAAGAATAAGAAAAAATAAAAATTGTTCTTGACTCCCCGATAGAACATTTCAATTTTTAGCCTCTAACCAATGATTATTTAATTATAAGTTTTTCTTTCAAAAACCCCGTGGTTCATAAAACAAAGCAAATATTGCTCATTCAGATTGCGGTCTGTATTGTCAAAAAAATACTTACTATTTCAAACCATAAAGTAGGTATAACTACATTCGAAAACCGCTCACATTCTGCCATATTCGTTATATCTCCCATTGCCATGTTGATTTGGAACTTTACCGAGAGTTTCAGCGGCAAACCGGACATCTAAAATTAAAACATTAAAACATATTAATTTTATTTTTTTAAGGATTTGTTAACGTGTTCAACATTACAACCCCCTACTCTTGTGAAACCACGTTGAATTTGGTATTAACGAAGTGGAAAAATAACATGGAGTGTAAAAATACGATTTTTGTTGATTTTTGGATCTTAAACGCGCTTTTGAAACAATTTCTAGGCCCTGTTATTTATTATGTATTTATATTAATGACTTGCGACGTGTTTTACGATTTTGCTACATTAATCTTTTTGCAGACAATGGAGACAATCCACAAACGTGGAGTTTCTCTGAAAGAACTGAATCAAAAACCCCCTTGATATCCAAGAACACAGAAGCCATTTGCTCTTTCTTAGCAAAAGCCAACTGAATTTCCGAGGAAAGCAACGCGAGACAGTCGTTCGTTCCCTTACCCCTACGGAAACCAAGTAGCTGAAAGAAGGTGGTTCGTCTCAGCCCATTTGTCGAGGCGAAAAAGGATCATTTTCTCCATCAATTTCCGAATGCACGACAGCATCGCGATGGGCCGTCTACAAACTGCCGCCAGTAACCCCGTTTTTTGGCCGTGATGAGACTCTTGAGTTCGCGTTCAAGAGATGTGTATGCGTCGGAATGCTCGCGTGTTCCGCGTTTCCGAAAAAGTTTATACGCGTCGGACTTTTTACGGTAAACCTCCGTGCATTGTTGATCCCACCAGAGCGATGGTGTTTTCTTACGAATTGACGATCGTGGCAATGCTCGCGTGTTCCGCGTTTCCGAAAAAGTTTATACGCGTCGGACTTTTTACGGTAAACCTCCGTGCATTGTTGATCCCACCAGAGCGATGGTGTTTTCTTACGAATTGACGATCGTGGCACCGGTCGTGTTTGAGCTTGAAGTGCGCTGTCGACGATGAGATTAAAGAGGAAATTATATTCCTCCAACGGCGGAAGCTCTTCCACTGACGATACTGTATCGTCTATCGTGGATTGGAACTTAGTCCAATCGATGTTACGGGTTAGATCATACGCGACGTTAACGGATTCTGACGAGTTGAACCCACTGGCAATCGAGATTTTGATCGGCAGATGATCACTACCGTGCGGACCCTGGATTACATGCCAAGTGCAATCCCACGATAGTGAATTGGAGCAAAAAGTGAGGTCTAATCTGCTACCATTCGAGGATGGACCAGCCAAACGTGTTACTTCTCCATTGTTAAGTACTGTCATGTTGAAGTTGTCGCAGAGATCATAAATCAAAGTAGAACGGTTATCATCGTACAGCTCCCCCCAGCCTGTACCGTGGGAGTTAATATCTCCAATGATCAACCATGGAGTGGGAACTACCGCACATATGTCGAAAAGTTGTTTACGATTAACAGAGACTCTAGGAGCAATATATACAGAAGCAATACAAAGGCTCTTACATTTAATGGTAGCCTGACATGCGACAGCTTCAATACCGGGGAATCCGGGAAGCTTCACTCTATAGAAGGAATGGCACTTTTTGATCCCCAAAAGTACCCCTCCTCCACGTGAATCCTCACGATCCAATCGAATAATGTTAAAATCATAAAAAGGGAGATCAATTTCTGAAGAGAGCCATGTTTCACAGAGGGTTAATGCATCGCAATTATTGTTATGGACAAAATACTTGAACGAATCTAATTTCGGAATAAGGCTTCGACAATTCCACTGTAGAACAGTGAACAAACCCCCGACCTCGTTTGGAAAATTATCCATCGAAGGAGATGATAGCTGCAAGAAGGGGCCATTTGACTTCAAGAAGGATTTCACAGTGGGAAGCAATGTGAGTACAATGCTTTTCAGAGGATCAGAAATGTTGAGGTATTTGAGAATATCGTTCACAATGTCATCAAATGAGAACAACCCAGATGAAGAAGGGGTTTGTGTAAAATTGGGGCATCAAGGGTTTTGGATGTCCCCGGAAGAGGAGGAAAATCCTGGGTATAGTCAGTTCTGCGGAATCCAGGAGGAGTAGAAGTCTCCTTTTTTCCACCACTCCTTGATTTGGGCAAGCTGATATGGGGTCCTTGATTGTCAACTTTCCACGAACAGATGCGTTTTCGTTTCCGTGCAGAAAAACGGAAAGAAGTTCCCTCCTCAGCTAAGTCACAGTCAGTCTCGTCATCTGACAAAAGAGAAAAGGGATTTTTGTCATTGGTCGATGGTGTGGCTATCTTAAGCATTTCTGCAAAAGACCGCCTGGAACGTTCCTTAAGCTGTTTGTATGCCGGGCACGACGAGAGAGCATGAGGAAGAGTTCCGTTGCAGTACACGCATTTTGGTGCAGTAGCTGGGCAGGCGCCATCCTCATGCTTCTCCCCGCATGTGGAGCAGCGTGCCTTGTTGCCGCAGTGGGAGGCCGTATGTCCCAACCGCTTAAAATTCTGGCAGTTCTTGACCCGAGGTACAAACAACCGCACAGGAAGACGAAGTTTTCTCAGCTCGATGTATTGAGGAAGGGCAGATTCAGAAAAGGTCACCTGAAACGAGTCTGTGGGGGTAAAACTCTTTTTACCCTCGCTGAGCGATACAGACTTCATTCTATGAACGGCAGTATCTTTACCGGAGGAGGCAAGGGGTTCTTGAATTGGCCAACCGCTTGCTTTTCCAGTATCTCGGGGTTCAGGCTCGCCTCAGTGACCACGCCTTCGATCTCCACATCAGAGGCTGGAATATACACTCTATGAAAGTGTGAAAAACTGGGAAACAGCAATTTCATCGGCCTGTTTCAGGTTGGTGATGGTCACACGAAGTTTGTTGTGCCTAACCTTCGTTATTTCGGTCACGGCAGAGAATCGCTTTGTCAGATCATCAGATATCTGAACAACATTCAAGGGTTTGTTTTTGGGCTGAAAATAGGCAACCCATGGGCCAGTCGAGTCATTCGGGTAGGCCCGCAATCTGGTGCTTTTCTCAGCCTGCCCATTGACAGACTGAGACGACGAACCAGGGATGACATCATCATTTTTCTGAGATGAATGGTCATCCATGTCGTCTTCCGACAAAACATCCATTTTGTTCTACTAGTGGGAGCGCAAAACACTCTCCCACTGAACTGATGTTTAAACTCGCACAGACACAATACGCAGAAAACACTACAAACACAGAAATACAAAATGAAAATTTAACTAATGGGGGAGTAAAAGAAACAAGAAAAAACAAAAAAATATCTGATAATCCTATACTACTACCACCGAGCGTTATATGTGTAGGCATTCACACAGATGGCTGGAAGGGATGCGCAGCGTGGATGACCTTTTCTTTTCTTCATTTAACGTCGGTCTCTGTTCCGCAATCTAGTGCCAATCACCGACGGACATCGATTGCCATCCATTGAAGGCAATCGAATGTGCAGGAAGGCAGCTTCCACACCTGCGTAGGATATCGCACCCATTCAACACACATGGGCCGGGACCAACGGCTTTACTTCCCTTCCGAAGGAAGACGTGACCAGAGATTTTTATGCCTCAGAAAAATCCCACCGACCTCGGCTGGGATTGAACCCAGACCCATCGGGGTGATAGAAAGCAGTCACGCTTACCACTACACCACCGGCGCCGGCGTGGATGACCTTTGTTGTGGTGCACTTGATAGAGGCTCGGTACTCAGCGCACACAGGCGCACGATGATTGATGAACGATGTAGATGTAGAAACGGGTGCTCACACTCGATGATGATGATACGTGAGCGTATGCGTATGCGTGACCACGCAACGATGATGCCCAAATTGGTTTGCGAATTACCAATAGCACGGATTAATCTTTCCGAAAATGACACTTTCTACTAAAAAAACTCACTTTTCGATCAATTTACCGGGAACTATGCCAGGAGTCACTTAGTGAGAAAAAAAACTGATAATTTATGTCAAACGAATACCGAGGAAACTTTCAAAACAACGGAGCGCGAAACAAGTCGACCGTACTTCTTGCTAGGACGCAGTGAGATTGAGCAAACCGAAATGCAACGGAGAGAAGTAGGTCAGGAAAGCATTTGTGGTACGATTGCATGAACGAGAACGACCCAAAAACGTAAGCATGAGTTTAGTAAACGCGAGTGAAAGTACCTATGTGAAAACTGACAGTGTTGAAAACGTATGTAATATATAGTGTGGCATGGAGTATGTGTCTGAAATGGTGGATCAATCTATTTTCATATACATCAAAAATTTCGCCAAAAATTAGTTTGGATTCTCACCTTCCTAAATCGGTTCATTTTAAAATAATCTGTTGAGGGAAATTTGAATTATTCAATTTTATCATATTTGTCCATACGGGTTATGGCTCTGAAGAGCTAACATCTCCCCATACCCCATATGAGCACCCCAAACTAACATTTAGTGAATAAAAAAACAGATATTCATGAAAGTCACTTCGGACAAAGCGTGCTAAATCCATTATCGTTTATTATGATTCATAATAAGCGATGTAATTTGTAGTAACAATCTCACGATTTTATCTTATTTCATTTAAACGATGAACGATACAATAAAAAAAATATCTAAGAAAGTCAAAACTCTACATTACTAGCAATTGAACTTAAACATCATGTGACGAGCTTCCTCCTTACGTATATTTTTTACTTAATATGGAGTAATTTGAGAAGGTACACCGGGGTAGGCTGAAACGGTTTTTCAAAATTGAAAATTATGGCTCTCTAGAAAAATCATAAAGTAACACGAAAAGTTACAGCGTCTTCTATCATGAAAAAATATTAAACTATAGTTTAGATCCAAAAAATCCAAGATCCAAGATCCATTGTAAAGTTAATGTTATCGCAGTGCTTATTATATGTGTCCATCATTTGGTTCAAGGGTCCAAATTTGGCATAATTCGTACGATGACGATTTGTAGCAAATATATTTCTATTTCGTAAATGCCTAGAAGGTGTGTATCAGTTAAGGATGACAATAGTTCTATTGAATCAATGCGATATGATACGATATCCTTTACAATGAAATTATAGCAAATTCACGACGCTCT